CAGACATGGCTCATTCTACCTGCTACAGTTCCTTTCACTCTACATTTTTTTTCTTAAAGGCATTGTAATTTTTATGTTTTAAAAATGCAGGAAAGAAATCACATGTTCTCAAAGGTTTTATTTAGCACATTTACAGAGGCAAAATCTGCATATTTAAGAAGAGTCTGGCTAGTCTGTGTGAGCTGGGCACCATCCTTCTGCTTATTCAATGACATATGAGCCTGGTTTAAAAGTTGTGAAACTCATTTCTGAAGTGTTTCCCTCTTTTATAAGGAAACGTAAGGAGTAAATGCTATGCTTTTTTGGGGGGGAGAAAATGGAAGGATAGGAGTGAAAAGAGGAAGAGGAAAGAAGAAGCAAAATAAATGAGAGAAAATAAAATGCTGTGAACTGACAGCAAGATTAATGAGAAGAAATGAAACCTTAGCCTTGGCTGGCACAGATGGTTTTGTCTTTCCCAGCATAAACACACAAGAAAACTTTACATGCTTTTACTTATAGTTTGTGGGGTTTAAAATGCTGGAACAAAGTATGAATCAGGTGTTAACTTCACTGGGGATGTGTCATTTAATTGTAGCTTGGTTGCTTTTTTCTTTTTTTGTCTCTCAAGTCATCAAGTAAAAATCCTCTAGTTTTATTGGACTGGGTCTATACACAGCTAGGCTGCTTCATCAACCCACTGTGCACCCCTCAGTCCTAATCCTGATTACATTTGCCTTAGTTGATCTCTCTGAAGCCAACCCACTTCAGTGTCCTTATACGCTTGCATACTTCAATGGCAAAACAAAAAATCAAACCTGTGAAGTGCTGTTGTCTGTGCTGCTCTTTTTTCAGTAAACCTCATATATCCAAAGAGGCAAAACTTTATTATGTACATTTTACAATCAAGTGAATTAATGACAATTGAGAGATCTCTAAGTTGCTTTCCTACTTGCCACTGTTTTGGTCAGCTGCAAATTGAAATACTGTATAGAGAGAATTTTTAGTGGAAATTTTGCTGTGAGCAGTTTTGGAATGTAAAATAACTTTTTTTGTTGTTAGAGGAAGTGTCTTTATAACTGGGAAAACAGCAATCCTCTGACAACTCAGAACTGTTAATTTACCTTTTGTCTAAGTTGCTGAGGCTGAAAAATAAATGTTTTCACTCCCCCAAAAAGTGTGAGCAATGTATTCAGTCCCTGAGGAGCAGGCACTAATTGCCTGTGTGGTCACAGCAGCTTTCATCACCAGTGCTATTAACTGGAGCTACTGTGGTATAAAGCAATAATAGTAATAATGGTAATGCAAATCCAGCCTTGATTGCAGCAGGGCAGATCCCAAGCAAGGAAAATTAGTGTAGCCCTCAGGGCACAGCAGGGGGAATTTAATGCAGTGCCTCTAGGGCTGTTGTGAGCATAGGGAACGGGCACTCTTTCAGTGTGGTTTTTTGTCCTATTTTGTGGACTCCAAGTTTTTGTCAGGTTCAAAGTTCAGGGTTGGTATACAGCTCATTCCAGCAGGAAACACTGTCTTCCTGGCTGGCTGGCTACCACCTTCCATCTTTCTGGAGATACAACTTAATGCCTCTCTTCACTTGAGTTGTACTGAAAATGGGAGAGCTTTTTGTGTATTGCTTCTTTTACCACTGTTGGAAGATACTAGTAGAAAATTGTGGAAAAGCGCCACATAACTGAGATGAAAATAAATAAATTCTTCCTTATTTTTTCTGTAGTCCTTTATATATTGACATTCAGATGACACTGCATGTCTGAGAATAGGCCAACCTTTACAATTACCCATTAAGGAGTATTTGCTTTGTCCTGTAATAAAAGAATTCTGAGGGATTCCCCTTCCCTATTCTTTTAGTTAAGCTTAATGGGCAGTTCATCTGCTAAAACTTTTCTCCTTCTGTAAAAACAAACTTGCCTTTAAAAAAACCTTCTGATAGGAATTTGAGGAAGTCTTTTGACCTGTTGACTGCTGAGATGCCAGTTGTTGCTACAATGTGCATTTTGAAATTTGTTGATTATTCCTTGGTGAGAAGAGCTCTGGCCCTGCTTGTTAGTCCCTCTTAACTCTGAAATAGGGCCTGTGGTTTTAGTCATGGTTGATCCCAGTAGGCTGTACTGCTTCCTGCCTTGATTATAGCCATTTTAACAGTACCTAGAGGGAGAGAGAGATGCTTCTCTTACAGGTAAGAAGTGGAGACAAAATTATGTTATCATCCTTTATCAAAGATTTTGGGTTGACAAGACCAAGAGCAGATGCAGGAGATTTCAACTGTTTGGGGTTTTTTGTTTGTTTGTTTGTTTGTTTAAAAAAAAAAGTAATTAAAAAAAGCCTTTGAGAAATTCAGGCAGTATTTGTTAGAGCCGATGGAGTAGAACAAACAATGTAGTCCTCTCATGAAAATAATTTAACATTATAATAAGAGGAATAGTAATTTAAGACATAAGCATCCACTGTGCCTCAGTATATGAAGTACAAGAAGAGAAGACAAAATATAAAAGCCCTCAGTGGTAGTTCCTTGCAACTTAATCTTTGATTAGCAAAACTTGAATGTGTAATGTCCCTGGTGATTGAGGAGAATATGTGAAATAAAGTGGAAACTTGTAAAATTAAATGAACTGTAACATGGCAGGCAAACTAGTGAGACAAATTTCAGAGGGAACTAAAAGGAAAAGAGAGAATATAGCTTCTTGATGTTTGGCCAGCTTTGGGAAATTCTGCCTGGGTAAATTCCAAATTATGGAAACTGTAATAGAATCAATTTCTCTTCATAGTTTAAATGTGTCTATAATCATATTTCAAAGTCTCACAGATGATTTGCTAACAAAGAAATTGGAATATATGTTTTGATTTTACTTTTTGAGTTATGAAGGGTTTTGGAGTTACTTGTTAAAAGTAAAAATCTATAAGCCTTGTGTGACACCCTCTCTGAATCCTTGGGGAACAGAATTTTTACTATAGTCGTGAATATATGGGTTTTGATCGAAGGTAACACAAATCCTCATAGGCAAAAAGACAGTAAAGATGGCCTTTAATATCAAAGATAAATTTGGGGAAAATATATAGAAATTTTGCCTCATGAGATTGAACAGCCTGGATTATGAATCACTGATCTTGAGGACTAACAGCAAGACCTGAGTAACTGTTTTCTAAACAAGGTCAAGAACTGTGTTGCATCACTGGCCTGCTCAAGGAGCTAACAAAGCATGGACCTATTTATGAGTGTATTATAGAAATGCCTATATTTTTAATATATATTGCACATGCCTGACTCTCACATTTTGAGAAGATGCAATGTCATCCACACAGGGAGATAATTAAGGTGTGAAGGAACTCAAGGGAGAGTAACCTTCTACTGAACCAAGTACACTGTTCGAGGTTATGCAAAGCCTAGAGGAAGGGTGGGTTGTAGTGCACAGTTCCTCTATGTGCCACAGAAAATGAAGTGTGTAAGTTCAGATCTTAGAGGGAAGTTCTCAGTTCCCAGAGGGCCCTATCAGAGAAATCCTGTCTCTTCCTCTGTGCTTAAATTTATAAAGTCAAGAGAATATATAAGTGTTCAAATTATGAAAAAAAGTTTTATATTCTGTTCTTTTTATATTTTTTTTAAATTGCCTAATATTTCTGGGCTACTTTCACTATTCTATTTTAAACTGATTATCCTCCTACAAGTGATATTCTATTGCCATATTACCTGCATTTAGAATTAGCTTTTAGTTTTACTTAGAAAATGAAGTCTGAACTATGAGCAGATCTATAAAGCTAGAAGTAAGTAGGTAAGGGCAAATTATGGAGGCAACTTACCTGCCCTTTGCATTGAAGTCCGTGATGCCAGGTACTTTCTCAAATTGTGTTACTGATGTCCAGCTGAGATACAGTCAGTAGAAGCAACAGACTTGTAGCTGCAAATGTCAGGTGAGCTTGTATTCCTAGCACCAAAAAGGTATTTACATCTAAAATTAATAACATACTGAGGAAAGCTGTACATATACAGGAATTAAAATAGAATAACAGTATGTAAAACTAACCATGATTAAGTTTTCTGAATTTGTCCTGTACTAACAATATTCCACTTAAGAGAAGTCCTAAGACAAAGGATTCAGAAACAGCAATATTATGATAGATCTGGTAACTGAAATCCCAATTTACTTGGAATCATTTTTTTTCTGGAAATTAATGACTTTGAATGCCTTTACTAATATGTTGTTTTACTGAGTGAAATGTATATAAAATTGACTCTTAGGTTGATTAGAACAGCAGAATCTGACTATGATTAAAACCACTGTGGGTATCAGTCATCAGATGTCTGGAATTTGCTATTTTTTTAATGCAAGTTAAACAGCTATTTTGTATTTTAATTTTGTTACATATAATATAAAATAAAATAATTTCTTAAATACAGAATATGATCTTTGATGGGTCATTTTCACTGATTTTAATTTTGCTGCCCAGAAGTAGAAATTAGGCTATATTTAGTTCTACAAATTTGTCACCTAGTGATATCTCAGTTTCTTTTATATGAAAGAATCAGCAATGACCAGTTAAATAAAATCATGCAGCTTTGGTATTGTTCATTATCCACACGGGAGCCAAGTGTCCGTGCTCCTGTGATAAAATTAGCATCTCTGATACTCCACTGTGACCACAGGCGGAGAAAGGCAGTAGGTAGCAAAAGCGGAACTGCTAAGCATGCCCACATAAGAATGTCACACTTAGGTAACTGAGTGTCCCTCAGGTCAGCCTACGATAAGAGCAAAGTCAAACAAGGCTGAATCCTTGATGTTTTGTGTTCTAAGTATCTGAAAATTGTTCACGACCAGCCTCGACCTACAAGACCTCAAATGATCATATGAGCAAGGCAATAAATCGGTGGTAACTTGCCCTGGGGCCCATGTTGTAGTTGTGATGTTGTGAAAGTTGCATCTAGTGTTAGCCTGTCCACATAGATCTGCCTGCTTTTTCAGGATTCTCAGACAGGAAAATTTTATATTCACTTTTACTGAAGGGGAACTATGGTGGCTGAATGGGCATGGCTGAAGGGTTCTGCATCGTATCAGTGCAGTCCAGTGGAGATGCACAGGAATACCACAGCATCAGGAGAGCTGGGGAACCACTTGCTTTCCAAAACTCCACACCTGAGCAAGATTTTGGCAAAGCCAACGGTTTGTAGTGCTGCAGTATTTGCCAAACATCCAGGACGTGACCTCCCGCTGTGGGACAGACTGATTCACCTTCCTGACAGAAATCAGAAATGGAATGTAGTGGGCATAACAGAAAATAATTTCTGTAGGAAAAGACACTTCAAAAATTATGATATCCAGAGGAATGGACAGCAGCTTTTGCAATGCCGACATGCTTCAACTTGGACTAGTACAATTTTACATCCAGGCTATACAAAAGCAAACTTTCAAATCATGTCAAGTGTCCAGGAATACCAAAAAGAAGAAAAAAAGTGTAAAGGTAACTGACGTTATCATGCAGCGCACAGCAAATGTTGTATTTAGAAAAAACAAAAAGCAAAACCAGCTTATGTCTTTGTTTACTCTCAGGGTTTTGGCCATTGGTAAAAGAATTACTATATGGGGATGTTTTCTAGCTACCAACCTTTTTTTAATTTTTTTTTTTAAATCAGTGATAATTGCGGTTTTTAGTTTTATCTTCTATTTAATTTAATATCTTTGTGAAGAGCCCTTATGACAATGTGGTGAGTACTTACTGGGGTTTTCTGTGTGATACCTAATACAAAATAATATTTCTTATTTTAGAGCTTTTAAAAAGTATTTGTCTGTCTCTTTATGATCTTTATAAGCTGATCAAAAATATTTTCTGAACTTGGCTTTTTTTATAAAGCATATATTTGATACATTAAAAATGGAAAAACAAAAGAAAATATTATTTTCTACTTTCAGAGTGTTCAGCTCTCACCTGTGACTGTGTTGTTTGCCTTCTTTCATAATATTAACCATACCCAAAGCCTCAGTAAGTGCATGTACAGAGCTCGAGTGGGACTTCTTGTTAGGAATATTCTCTGCCTCACTAGTCAGGAGAATAAACCATTTTCTCTGAGGTATGTTGTTTTGTTCACATCAGCACAGCATTGAAGGAATTTCTTTTAAGAATCACAGTTGCTAAGGTATTAGCACAAAGGTAGTGCTTAAGTTATTCTTATTCCTCTTTAAACTTGGATAAATAGTTCTCCATTGCTCTTCGCCTAAAAAATAATTACTGTATATTGGGAGGGGGGATTACAAGTTGTTTTCTTTTACTTAAGTCTTGCGTCACTCCAGGAAGAAAGATTACAGTGTCAGGCAGGATATCACCTCATGAAAAAGTTAAACTGGTCTAAGTACCTGATTTCTTTAGATTTAGTTGTGCTTTACCTCAGAATGCCTCTTTGCTAACAGATGTCAGGTGTTGATCGCTTTAACGTCTTACTAAGGGCTGTCAGGAGGCTATCAAACCCAGACAGTCCCATCCAGGAGCCTGTTAATTATGTTATGTCAAGCCAAATTAGCCTGTTTTCTGCTTGGTTTTATTTTTGAACAAATGAAACTTCTTACCTTGATGTTTTCATGTGAAGTTGAGGCAGGGAATGACTCAAAAAAGGTACATGTTTTAAGTATTGGCCATTACTTTCTCAAGAGATAAGCTCTGTAATTATCTGATGTCTGCTAACAGGGTCTTCCAATTATGATATATGGGGAGGCTTAACAAACTGGGTTGTCTGGGTTACAGGTCTATAATTTCTCTTAGTAATATTTGTTCAGGGACCATCTTAAAAGTTGTCCAAACTATTCAAGAATTTTGTTTGCTCATTTGTTGGTTGATGTCTCAAGGAGCAAACGCTTTCTGACAAAACTGTGTGCTACCAATCCATATCATGAATAGTGCAAGAAAAAGCAAGCACAAACCCTGGAGGAGTCCTGATCAGAAAAGAGCAAGCTTCATTCTCTTTTTACCAAATTTATTCAAGGTGTCAAAAATATTTTGAGGGATAACTGGAATTGTAGTGAATCTGAACTTTAAATATAAACGATGACATTCTTTGTTATTCAAGCAGACTAATGAGTCTGAAGTATTTCAATAAAAGGCACATCATACGTGCATTTTATGAGTCACAGACAAATTTAGTGTCATGTCATAACCAAGGTACAGTGGGTTTTGTGAGAGGAACAGTGAGAAATAACTAAGTTGGTACACGTGGAGAAAAGAAGTGTGCTGTTGTCTAAGTAAGATTTTTGTCTAGTTTGTACCACAGGGCAGCTGCTTTGAATCTTCCTTCATCTGTTGCCAACCCAAGGAAATAATTTTATGTCAGAAAAATTTAGCTTTTTTTCCTTCAACTATTATAAATGTAGCATAGACAAAATGATTATTTTTTTTAATGTCTTATCTTCCACTGAGACATACTCCAGGAACTGTTGAATGCTGTTGCGACTTTTCAGCACCAGAAGTCCATAATCCTACCTACCTTATGATTTAGTCACAAGTAGAGTTTTCAAAATAAAATAAATACCATGAAGAGTTAATTTTCTGTTCTTGTAAATGCTTGTTGTTATTTTGGATTCTGATGTTGGAGGTTTTCTTAGCTTAATCTCTAAATTTGTGTAGTCATACATCTGAGGGACCATTTTGAGTCTTTCATCATAGTGCATAAAGTGAATGAATAAGGTGGTGTAAATACATACATTAAAGAGAGATGGTAACTCATTTTGTGGGCACTGAGATAGTTGTATTTGACAACTTATGGGTGTTGCAACAGCCACATTAGTAGTTTTGCTCAAAAGCTGTTGCAGTTTTCAGTATATGTTCCTTATTATATGAGAAGATCTGTCTGGAATGCAGCCCATGTTATGAAAGTGCTGATTTGTGTTTGCTCAGAAAAGCCATGATCTAATTTCTTTTTTTTTTCCCCAATACCATCAGAGGTGGCTGAGACAATTCAGGCAACAATAAAATCTATAAATAGGAAATATAACAGTTATTTTGTAATGTGTAAAAATTCATTTTACAAAACTAGGAACTGATAACACAGGCATACAAAACTGTGAGGAGTTCAGAACGATATGTTTAATCTTTGCAACTACATGTTTAAATGTGCAAAATTTTTAAGTAAATCCTGAATTTTTATTCATCTTTATGCATGAGTCTGAACAGCAACCAATATAAGATCCTTCCATTTGGTCCTTCAGAAGTGGCACTCTGCCCTGACTGATTTGTGATTTGAATGCTCTGCAATACCTCCCACGTACTGACAGTGCCGAATCTTTTAGAATGGCGTGCAGGGGCCCTATCTGCAGCATTGCGATACCCAGGACTCTAGACCAGGGGTGCACAGTTTGGAAAAAGTCAGGAGAATAGGACTCTTGCAGGTAATATTCCACAGCAGATTAAATTGCACTGCATGATACTTCTTTTTTCTGTGTCAGGGAACTCTGTTGGTTGGGCTGTAGCATCCAGAGGGACGCTACAGGATTTTTGTCTTTCCTTAACATTTCTGTGGGTTCATTTTAGTGGGTTTTGCAACAAGCTAAGTCACAAGAGAATTAAGTGCATCTTAATGGGGGTATTTCATTGTTTGTAATTAAAAATCTTAGTCATAATTTGTAAAACAGGAGTTAATGAAGAGCTGAATGGTATAGTGTAAGGCGGTCTCTTCTGCAGATTCCCTCTTTCAGGCATTCACAGCCTGATTTCTGCCTACCAATTAATATCACTGACTGCATTAGACTTACTTCTGATTTACAGCAGAGTGAGTATATAAAAACCTTTGGGGCATTCCAGGCACAAGTTCAACAAGTAATTCCAGCCTTTTTCAGAACAATGGGCTAACACCTTAGACTGTGAGATGTTTGAGCTTTGGATCCTCTGCCGTTACAGCATCAAAATTTCTGTTTTTTTCCTGGCCTGTTTGCTTGAATTGAAGGGTTTATTCTGATGGTGATAAACTTCCATGTGTTCACATAATCAGACACATGTGAACTCATAAAATTCCAAGCGTGATTTTACATTGTTGGAGGCAACAAAAGCTCAATATGGCATGATGTAAAGACACGAATATTCAAATAGGAATACAAAACAAAGAAAAACTGTGAATATTATTCTACTCTACTTTTAGACTTTTGATAAAGATACTGTCTGACTGTCTTGTATCAGACAATGAATACAAAACAAAGAAAAACTGTGAATATTATTCTACTCTTTTGATAAAGATACTGTCTTACTGTCTCGTATCAGACAGTTTAATTCAAAGGTAGGCTAACAAATGAAATGAACCTACAGGATTGGACCCTAAAAGATTAAAATGAAAATATTTTAGGACTATTTCAGTTTTTAAAATCTTTGCAGTGTTCTTTGAACTGATTTGTTTCCAAGGGAACAACAATCTGCAGAGCTATAAGTCTCTTTAATAGTAGCATATCACAGGTAAGAAACCCATATTCCCTGGTAGTGTTCATAATTTTTTGTTTGTTGGACAAGTAATTTTTCATTTTTTCTTCATCCTTCACAGTTTCTTGTCATTTAATTTCCTTGTGCTGTTAGAGGAACTCTTGACAAAAATAGTACATGTGACACATTTCTGAGCATTATTGATATAACAATAGAAAGTAAGAAATATTTGAGGGATTTATTTTGGAGCAGAAAGTAAGTCACAGGCTGTGCCATGTTGAAATACCATTTCCTCAGGTGCCATCCTGGCTGGAACAGCTCTGTCTACACAAGGCTTCAATTCTGTTTAGCTTTCCAGTCCTAAACCAAATCCAGTCAGAGGGAAAAAAACCAAGAAAATAAAAGATTTGTGGAAATTTTGACTTTGCTGGCAAAGCACATCCACATGGGAGGAATTCTCACTGAGAATTTAAAGCCCAGCTCTCCAAAGCTTTTCTGGGAGGTGTAAAAGTACTTAGGTATTGTGTTTTGCTAACATGTAAAACACAGCCTCACCTCTGTGGGAGCTTACATAGGTTCCTGTTGGCAGTACAGGGGGTCTTTTCTTGGTAAATGAGCAACCCAGGTATGGTACTTGGGAATGTTTTATTGGGAGCATGGAGAAGTAAACTCAGCAAGCTGTATATGTTACATACACTACAGCTTTACCAACCCATCCCCTCAGTGGGAATGGTTTGGGGGTTTCAGTATAAACAACTATTGCAGAATTTCTTGAATGAAACACAAGCATTTTTTATTAAGTGCTGAACGTCCATTATTGAAAAATCAGATCTTTCATGAGACATGCTTTTTATCACAGACAAACTCACTGTTTTTAAAAGCTAGATGATGGGCCTGAACTAAAATGAAAATTAACTTTTATTGTGTGCTTTTTCACACTGTATCTTACAGTGGTATTTGTTGAGTTAGACAATGGTGAATGAATGAGGGTTCATTAGGGCTTAACTTGTTGGATTTCAGTAACTGTTTGTGGTCTTCATGAAATAAAATGTTTAAATTATTAGAGTTTT